GGGGGACAGTCAGCCTCAGTCAGCAGCCTGGGGTTGGGCTAGAATGACGGGATGGAGAGGTTGGTTGGAGAGATGGGGCGATGGGAGGGATGAGGGGTGGGAAGATGGGAAGGAAGACAGGGTGAGAAGCCTCTCTTGACCCAGGACTAGGAAATGCAGTGAAACAGGCATCACGGTGAGACGTTGCTGCCGTGACAGTCCCCACCAGGGATCCAGAAAACTGTCAAAGGCCGGCGTCTCGGGACAGTCTTCCTGCCCCACGGGCTCGCTGCAGGAACGTGGCTGCACGGCCCTGACCCTGTCCCTCATCTGGACGGCCCATAGGAACAGGCTGGCTGGGCGGGGCGTTCCCTTGTCCTGGGGCAGCGCTGCCCCAGGTGCCCCCTTGCTTTGGGTACCTGTCACCATGACTAGTTTCCAAGCCAAACCGAGGCCCGTAGAAGGACAAGGCAAGTATATTTGTAGGGACGGTAGGTTGGGTACAGACAACGTCGGACGTGAGGGCGTCCATCCACCTCTTCTAATCCTCGTGCTCAAAACACAAACAGCAGTAATTCTCCTGATGAAACACATTCAAAAAGCACCTTTGGTCATTTCTGTCAGTTTATGGGGCACCCATTTACATCAGACGTCCCGGCCGCCATGAACCCACAGGCCACTCTAATTTATTCCCGAATTTCTCTTTTCTGACAAAGACCCGAAACTTTGTTATATGCCCCTCATTCGCCTTCCCTCCCATCAGCAGAGCCAACACTTGGAATTCTGTTTGCGGCCAGTGTCCCAAGTCTCGCTTCATGAGGCCAGCAGGACGTGGGCGCTGGGCTCCTTGCCGGGCCAGGACATCCCGCTTCCTGCATCGCCGACCATGGAGGGCCCCTGGGGTCCGTCCCAGGCGGGAGGGGCCACAGCCAGTCTCAGAATGGTGACACCTTGCTGTATTCAAGACTATTCTGGAAAATCCAGGACACTGTTGGGGGCAGCTGAGACTTGGAAGGGAATCCCACTCATCGCTCCCAATACACTTGACTTTGGAAGTTCCCTCCCAACCACGTGAATCCGCAACGAGCGACATTCACATAGTCCTGACATAACGTGAAATAGACCGTGGCGGAACGTTTGGAATTACGGAAGAACACGGTGGGGAGAAAGGAGAGGCGGGTAGGACGGGTAAGCGCCCGTCGCTGCCAATGGGTACAAAGTGTCCCAAGGTCAGATCAAGAAGGAGCATTCTGACGTGTGTTGACAGATCTGGAGATGCTGGAAGAACTCGACACATTAACGGTGCTTGTCTGCAGGGGTTCCTCTGGATTCTTCCACTGGGGGTGTCGGGGGGAGCTGGGAAACCGGCTTTAAAACCTACCTGAGGGCGTCGGAGAGCCACACGGAGGACCACAGGAGGGAGACCACGTTTACATTATGACCAATTAATAATCTAACGCAGATGGGAATGAATAATCAATACATGTACATAAAATGGAAACTAAGTTCTGTCCTTGGCAGAAGACAGAGAAAATAGAATTAACTGGAATTTTAAGATTAAGCCACCCACGCAGAAAAACAACATCATTTCAGCAGACCAGTATACATGGGAAATGGTGCATATAACGTTTTGCTCAATTTTATCTTTCTTAAAATTAAAGAAACTTTTCATCTGTTTCACTTAGCAATTAAAGACTTTATTTCTCCGTGGCCACAGTCACCACACTTAGGTAGACCTTTTGAGAAATTAGACATTTTTATTTTATGGACAGACCATGGAAGGAATTTGCTACACTCTCTCGGCAGCATGGTCTGGGCGAGCAGGACAAGGAGGCTTTGTTCCTGACTTCGGGACCTGATCCAACCGGCTGGAAATGGTGTTTCTTTTCCAGCCGGACACCTCCCCTCCCCTCCCCGGGAAGGTCGACTCCCTGAGACGTGATAAGACTTCATGACATCATGTCTCATTGGGGCCCAGCACCCCCCCCCCCACCAGGGAGCAGGTGTCCCAGCGGAGTCGGCCTGCTGCCCTGACCTGTGTCCAATGCTCAGCGGCCCTTTGGGCCTGATACTTGAGGCTGCTTTCGTGGTTTTTCCAGTGACCTTGGCCGTGGCCGGCTCTGGCTCTTCCCTGCTGCTACAGGGCCAGCGTCCTCCAGGCCCACAGGTCAGACCTGGGGAGATTTGCTAAAAGAAGTCACTGGTGTTTGTGTACTGGTCCGTGCAAAAACAAAGACCCTTTCACAGAGGGGACCAGGAGTCACCACCAGTGCCTCTAAAGAAGGTGTCAGAGAGGAGGGAGCTGGTGTCGGGGGTCACTGGCTGGTGCAGGCACGGCCCCCAGCTGAGCCCAAGGCGGAGGTGGCCACACAGCGCCTCCTGCACGGGGAGCGGGCGAGTCCTCGCTAGCCGTGTGGTCCAGCTGCTTGGAGCGCTGGGTCTGGGTCGTTGTTCTTGTTGATTCCAACCCCCCACCCCAATTAAAGTGTGTGGAAGCAAGTAGCATGGTCCCGGCACAAAATGGTCCCGGTTGTGCGTCACCGCCGGGCGGTACTCGGAGAGGGAGCCACGTGGCACAGGCTGGCCACCAGCTTTCCAGGACTGCCGCTGTCCCTCGACTCTGGGGTAAAACCGGCCCCTTGTTGGCATGTCTGGGTGGACCAGGTGGTTAAGTGTCTGACTTCGGCTCAGGTCACGATCTCACGGTCCGTGGGTTCGAGCCCCGCGTCGGGCTCTGTGCTGACAGCTCGGAGCCTGGAGCCTGCTTCGGATTCTGTGTCTCCCTCGCTCTCTGCCCCTCCCCTGCTTGCACTCTGTGTGTGTGTGTCTCTCTCTCTCAAAATATAACTCTCTCAAAAATAAACTTAAAAATTTTTTTTTTGAAACTGGTCCCTTGTGAGGTCTCGGCCATGCCCCTGGGAATCGGAGAAGGCAATCTCTGAGCTGTTCTCTTTCTAACACACAAGCAGGTCCTCAGTGCACACCTGGATGGACCCGGGGAACGTCTTCTGGGGTCAGGACATAGAGCCCCTTCCCCCCATCACCCTGAAAGGGTGCCCGCCCACCCCGCCCCTGCCCCAGCTTGGGGGCCACTGGTTCCCGTCCACACGGATGCTCCTGTTCTACCTTCTAGAACCTCGCACAAATGGAATCACTCAGCTGACCTGCGTCTGCCTTCTTTCACTTACAGCTCGTTGTTCA